GGGGGGGGGGGGGTTGTATTATTCTTCACTAAAACAAAAGGACAACCTAGACACGTTCAGGATGCAGACATTTACGTGGCCTTAAAATGTTATCACAAGCTCTGGTCACTGTATGTAATCATCCACATAGGTATTTGTACTTATGTCATTCAGTTCTTTATAAATGACTCCTAGCTGCATAGTTATGAACAGTAGAATCACTTCCAAAAATATAATGCTTCTGATGCTAACTTAGGGACATTGTGAAGCCATTTTAATACATATGTTTTGGCAGAAGTCAGCCATTATTTCTGTGAATATAGACATACATTTATATAAGAGGTGAATGGTTTAATTAGAAATTTTCATGCATGGGAGTTAAATTTTTCTGCACTATTTTCCAGATATATAGATAAGCTGTGGAATCATGCCGACTGTGATAGTGATTGATGTATCACTCTCAGTGACAAGGCCAGTCATTTTACCAGAAACTGGAGAAACATACAACCGTCAACAACTTGCTGTATGTGGAATCAACACCCTACTTGACTTCCTAGCTATCCATTCAAAGCTGGAATTTGTTTCTCTGGTGAGTTCCTATCAAATCATGTCATGAAATTATTAGAAGGAAATGCCATCTTAATTTAACATAAAAGTATAATCATCCTTTTTTAAAAAAAAAAGCTTTTGCTAAGATAAAACTAAGTTATTCTTGAATGTAAGCACTACATTATAAATACATATAAGAATGATGGTAGTAGGGTTCCATGCATTCTAAACCTCAGTTTTAGAAGAAGGTGAATGGCCAGCTTTACCTGCCGTGATAGTTGATGCAGCTTGAATGGGGAGATGAAGCATAATATTAAAATGGATCTTTAGTGGGGAGACAGGCTGTGATGTGGGTTTGTTTGAGCATCATTTGGACCATGTAGAGTGTCAGGCTTTGCTTTGGTAATGCTGAATGTTCAGGGCATACTGTCAGAGTTATTTAACTCCATGTCACAAGGTCTTCCTTAAACAGCTGGTATTTGGCTGTTCAGCAAACTTTGTTGTTATGGAACACAGTGTTTCAATGCCACAAGATCCAATCCTAAGCCTGTTCTTTCCACTTCACAGCCTATTTCTTGAAGATAAATTTCAATATTATTCTCACAGCTATGCCCAAGTCTCCAAGGTGATCTCTTCTTCTCCACCTTTTTCCTCTTCCTTAAACATTTACACTTTAAATGGACACAATTTAATTTTTATTATTTTCTCTATGCATGCTACATGTCTTATCTCTACTGATTTATACACCATAATCATTTTAGGTGAAGAATACAACTTCAAAATTTCTTCATTATATAATTTTATCCATTTCCCATTTATTTCCTCTTAGGTTAAGTTGTTACAACAGTTTATATTTAAACATCCTCAGACTGTGTTTAAATCTTATATAAATATTTGTATTCCTTCATTTTCAATTCTTAACTACATTCCTTCCTTCGACACTTTCTTAATTTCCGTCTAAAGCCGCCAGTCATGCACTCTTTTTGACCCCTCTAATCTCTACCTGCCTATTAAATGTGAAGTAACACTTCCTAGATGAAAGTACCCACAGAACATTTACTGTGAGTAACAAGTATTTTAGACAGTGCTGCAGAAGATGTAAAGCATAAAATACATCCCTCTGTTAACAGATCGCGTTCTCTTCACTTTATGAAATAATTTCCCCTTTCACACGTGATTTTGATGCCTTAAAATTGAAGCTACAGCAACTGGAAGAATATGATAAAACATGCATTGAGACAGCACTGCATGGAGTCAACAGACTAGTCCTTGGAGAATGGGGCAATGCCACGCCTTGTCAGGTAAGGATACCCAAGGATTATTCATATCAGACAGGACACTAGCTATCCCGAATTAGGGTAGTGTCTTCTTGCTGGAGTTCCAGCTGTCCTAACAAAAGTACTTCTTTTCCTTCTGCTTAGGCATTGACAACTCAGACTGAGGGCTTTCCTGCTAGGTATTGGAAATTATTGGCGAAATGATCAAAAAGTCACCTAACCCATATTAAATAAAATCTTTATTGATGGTTGCAATTAATAAACACGCAATATCGCTGTGACTATACAAGAGCCCACCGCTCTCATCACATCTTGTAACCTGCTTGCATCGGACGTGTATGAATCACATGATGGCTTGAATTATGCAATAAAATACAGTAACTCAGTTCAGTAGTTTATTGAAGATTTCCGTCTTCTGGGTTGTTGCGCTGTGTAGTCTGGTCGATGTTAACCAACGTTTCAGAGGTCATCGCCCTGATGACGGAGGCAGTATGACCTCTGAAACGTTGGTTAACATCGACCAGACTACACAGCGCAACAACCCAGAAGACGGAAATCTTCAATAAACTACTGAACTGAGTTACTGTATTTTATTGCATAATTCAAGCCATCATGTGATTCATACACGTCCGATGCAAGCAGGTTACAAGATGTGATGAGAGCGGTGGGCTCTTGTATAGTCACAGCGATATTGCGTGTTTATTAATTGCAACCATCAATAAAGATTTTATTTAATATGGGTTAGGTGACTTTTTGATCATTTCGCCAATAATTTCCAATACCTAGCAGGAAAGCCCTCAGTCTGAGTTGTCAATGCCTAAGCAGAAGGAAAAGAAGTACTTTTGTTAGGACAGCTGGAACTCCAGCAAGAAGACACTACCCTAATTCGGGATAGCTAGTGTCCTGTCTGATATGAATAATCCTTGGGTATCCTTACCTGACAAGGCGTGGCATTGCCCCATTCTCCAAGGACTAGTCTGTTGACTCCATGCAGTGCTGTCTCAATGCATGTTTTATCATATTCTTCCAGTTGCTGTAGCTTCAATTTTAAGGCATCAAAATCACGTGTGAAAGGGGAAATTATTTCATAAAGTGAAGAGAACGCGATCTGTTAACAGAGGGATGTATTTTATGCTTTACATCTTCTGCAGCACTGTCTAAAATACTTGTTACTCACAGTAAATGTTCTGTGGGTACTTTCATCTAGGAAGTGTTACTTCACATTTAATAGGCAGGTAGAGATTAGAGGGGTCAAAAAGAGTGCATGACTGGCGGCTTTAGACGGAAATTAAGAAAGTGTCGAAGGAAGGAATGTAGTTAAGAATTGAAAATGAAGGAATACAAATATTTATATAAGATTTAAACACAGTCTGAGGATGTTTAAATATAAACTGTTGTAACAACTTAACCTAAGAGGAAATAAATGGGAAATGGATAAAATTATATAATGAAGAAATTTTGAAGTTGTATTCTTCACCTAAAATGATTATGGTGTATAAATCAGTAGAGATAAGACATGTAGCATGCATAGAGAAAATAATAAAAATTAAATTGTGTCCATTTAAAGTGTAAATGTTTAAGGAAGAGGAAAAAGGTGGAGAAGAAGAGATCACCTTGGAGACTTGGGCATAGCTGTGAGAATAATATTGAAATTTATCTTCAAGAAATAGGCTGTGAAGTGGAAAGAACAGGCTTAGGATTGGATCTTGTGGCATTGAAACACTGTGTTCCATAACAACAAAGTTTGCTGAACAGCCAAATACCAGCTGTTTAAGGAAGACCTTGTGACATGGAGTTAAATAACTCTGACAGTATGCCCTGAACATTCAGCATTACCAAAGCAAAGCCTGACACTCTACATGGTCCAAATGATGCTCAAACAAACCCACATCACAGCCTGTCTCCCCACTAAAGATCCATTTTAATATTATGCTTCATCTCCCCATTCAAGCTGCATCAACTATCACGGCAGGTAAAGCTGGCCATTCACCTTCTTCTAAAACTGAGGTTTAGAATGCATGGAACCCTACTACCATCATTCTTATATGTATTTATAATGTAGTGCTTACATTCAAGAATAACTTAGTTTTATCTTAGCAAAAGCTTTTTTTTTTAAAAAAGGATGATTATACTTTTATGTTAAATTAAGATGGCATTTCCTTCTAATAATTTCATGACATGATTTGATAGGAACTCACCAGAGAAACAAATTCCAGCTTTGAATGGATAGCTAGGAAGTCAAGTAGGGTGTTGATTCCACATACAGCAAGTTGTTGACGGTTGTATGTTTCTCCAGTTTCTGGTAAAATGACTGGCCTTGTCACTGAGAGTGATACATCAATCACTATCACAGTCGGCATGATTCCACAGCTTATCTATATATCTGGAAAATAGTGCAGAAAAATTTAACTCCCATGCATGAAAATTTCTAATTAAACCATTCACCTCTTATATAAATGTATGTCTATATTCACAGAAATAATGGCTGACTTCTGCCAAAACATATGTATTAAAATGGCTTCACAATGTCCCTAAGTTAGCATCAGAAGCATTATATTTTTGGAAGTGATTCTACTGTTCATAACTATGCAGCTAGGAGTCATTTATAAAGAACTGAATGACATAAGTACAAATACCTATGTGGATGATTACATACAGTGACCAGAGCTTGTGATAACATTTTAAGGCCACGTAAATGTCTGCATCCTGAACGTGTCTAGGTTGTCCTTTTGTTTTAGTGAAGAATAATACAACCCCCCCCCCCCCCAAGCACACCATTCAAGGGTGATTTTTGATCCCACACTACTCCTTCCTGGTTATACTAAGTAGGGTATGGTTTTGTTAGTTTAATATACTATGACCACATTCTCTATATGTTGCAGTATTTATCTCTAAAAGTCTATTTGTATCTGAGATACTAATATTTTTTATTTCTCATTATTTGCTGAAACATTTCTTCAAAAAGAGGTGAGAAAGGTTATGTTCCTGGATTAAAGTGTATTCGAGTATTTAAATATACTACAATAGTGAACAGCACGATAATTTCTACTTCAATTTCATTTCCTTAATTTGCTCTGCAGAATTTTTGTTAAATTCAGTAACCATAAGAGATCCTTAATTCACAGACAACTTGGACTTTGGCTGCAGTTCGTCTTGCACATTGTTGGTCATGGTTTCCAACGAAGATATTAACCAGCCTTGTACAAAGAATCTCTGTTTAGCATTCTCGTCTAGTGTATTTGAGGTTAATGTTCAGTACCACGCAATGTTATTTCATGACATGTTAACTGTTACTCAGTTGGCCAAAACCATGCCCCTACCTTCAAAATGCTTTCGGTCAAATGCAGCTTAAACAGACAATGTCAAACTCGTTCATAAGCTATTAAAATCTGCTTTTGTAAAAGTTGAACACGTCCAGATTTCCATTTCACAAAAATACCTCCCATTCAAACATCACCCACCACTGTTCAAGGGATTACTTTAACGCCACGGACCAACTGTTGACACCTATTACCAACATACCATGTGCAATCTGACAGTCACGTCGATTAGTATTCTAGTGTGACTTAGATTACCATTGGAACACAGCCAAATGTATTGAGTTAGACCACTTTTGGTAAATGTCCATCCTCTTTTAACTGATATCAAAATGAATTCGTGGTTGAAAAGTAAAATAATTGGCAACTTAAAAGGTAATATAATTTCAATAAATTACATTATCTAATTTTACATATTTTCAATTGTAGAATCTGCTATATAAGGAGGAAGGTCAAAAGTTTGTTTCTGTTTACTGGTTAATTTTATGGTCTGATAAAAGTCGTCACCGTGATGTACCAGCCGTGACTTTTTGGTTACATGTTTACATTGGTGTTATCCGTTGGTTACTGTAACAATTCTAGTACTTCGTTGGCGGCAGTGTTTGCGCTTTTAAAAATGTGCGGCAAAAATATGTGGTAGTTTAAGCGAATAAATGGCGGACATTGAAAGGAACATAATACAGCGAGGGGTGTGGGCTACTGCTCCCACAAGGGTCGATTGTGGTTATGGGGATATTAACCCAACCTTGGACAGGTATGATCACACTAGACATTTATTGCATCTTATTCTTGGATGCAAAAGGAAGCTTGTGCAACTCATTGCCATCAGGATTAGGAGTCAGCTAGGTGGTGTTAAGATTGCTGTGATCATTAGTGCATGATAGAGGCCCTTGTTAGGATAACATAAATGCACAGCTAAATACGAGATACAGATATAACCCTCATATGCTGTACACTGAACACATAAATAAATAAGAAAAGAGAGCTTACTATGCTGGAATTAAACTATACAATGAGCTTTACCCTCTGTAAAACGTCTGAATCATAATATAAAGAAGCCTAAGCCAGTACTGAAAGATTGGTATCTCCTATCTCACTCCTGCTCTATAAGAGAATTTACCTCAACCAAAAATTCTCACCTATTATAAATACACATAAGCAATATTGGGTATGCTTTCTTGTGTAATTATTTTTATGGTAATACTGTAGTTGATTGTAAATTACTGTCATGACTGTAATTTATGTTTGTATTAGAAACAAGTATTTGTGCTGTGAATGTTCTACATCCAAGGCTTGGGCCTATGAAGGATTTATGGATGTAAATTTCTACTGTATGTTTTTAGACCAAGAGTTAATGGTTGGCAGTAAATCATTGACATATATGAGGAAAAGCAAAATTTTCCAGTATCAATGTTCATGAAAATCTGTTCGGTGGTTCTTTTATTATTACGTATGGATAGGCAGGCAGACGAAGAAGAATCAGAAGTCTGGCGGACCTCATCCTTAAACTTTTGAGTCAGGACCTTAATTACCTTTGCTGCTTACTGTATGATCATAATAATTCAAGGAAGATATTTAGGAGGGTTCTGTGAGGAAGAACAGCATATGGCGATGCATGTTACTTATGGCTTATTCAACCATTCAACCAACCAGTAAATTCACTGAATGTGGTCTGGACAATAGAGGTTCAGTTTTTGAAAGGGGCAGCAGATTTTTCACCATTATATCTGAATAAACTCTGGAAATCACGTAGACTTTATCCAGTGGGTACTGCATGGACCATGAAGCTGACCTCTCACCCATCTAATACCAAGACTAAGAATGAGTGGAGCTATACCATTACCATCCACATGTCTTCATGGTAAGATGTTTAAGTGAGCATATGGAAAACTCCACTTTCACTTATGAATCTTAACGTAATTGATGGACATGCACTGTTTTCCAGTACCGTGCCTGACTTATGGGTTAAGTGAGGGTTCTGACAGCTATACTCTGTAATTCTTACTTTAGAATCCTTATAGGTGACTGATATCTGGCCTTTGTGAGCGCACTCTGAATGTAGACATTAAAACGTATTCACAAGTGAGCCTTGATTTATTCTGTGGAATCAGATACAACATTGCTTGTTTGTCCAACATAATATGCCATTGTATCACTTTCTTTCCTTTGTGTCTGTCTCCTCTGATGATAGTGAACTGTCACTTTGTGCGTCATCACCAAGTAGCTCTTTAGTTTCATCATCTGTTTCCCTTTTCTCAGTTTTGACACCAAACAAACTTTTAACATCTGGCATGGCACGTGCAAATGAAACTGTCTTCCTTAAATCCTTTGATTTTCTGTTTTTCACTCTCCGTCTTCTTTCTTGTGAATCTCCGTTAGATCATACTTTTTTATCCTGAAATAAAGACACAGAGATGTGTTTAAGAACAGCCTGCAATTTACTGGATATTATATTATTTAAAAATCTCTTTTAGTTAGCGTTGAAGATTACTGTAAATGTAACAATGGCAGTTGAATACAGAAACTTTAATTTAATTTTTGGATATTTGCTATAGCGAGTAAAGAATTTTATTAAAGCAGTAATCTTTATAGTGTTTGTAAACATGAGACAGGATTCTACGTTGAGTGAGTGAAGAGAACAGCATGCATTCTAATGTGCTGAGTGGGAACTGGGAAATTAGTCTGTCTACAAGATGTCTACTGTGTTCTGGGATTGTAAAGGTCAGTCTTGTCTGAGTTTATGCTCAAACAAGTTCTTCCTTGATCAGTAATGCGTTCTGGGATTGTAAAGGTCAGTCTTGTTGGAGTTTATGCTCCAACAAGTTCTTCCTTGATCAGTAATGAATGATATGGAACTACTCTGATACGTCTGCATGATATCATCAAAGAAAAAACATTGGGGAAAGTTGACCTGAGAAATTCTTTCAGAACATGTTCCCTCTCGTCTTACTTCTCATACATCTCTGTTACCTGTCATATTCTAAAATTGAATGGTGTAGTACAATTAATGTTTTACAGAATAGCTGCAGTTGATTTGAATAATATAATGAGAATTACATATAAAATAATTTTTGTAATTAACAATTTAACAGGAGCACATAACACTGAATATTGCTGACCGAATAAAGTGAAACATAGTTTAAGAAGGATATCAGGATAAAATGACTTCAAATATCATATCATAGAATTAAACCAGAATAGTTTGTTAGTATGTTTATGTGAAATACTTTACTTGAGATATTTCATCGTCTTTGTCTGAATCTGATTCATTAAACACTTGAGTGGATACAGGCTCAAAAATCTGTTGCGCTTCAACATCTCTGATTGAGTGTTGAGTTTCCAGCGGAGGTTTCCCAGCATTGTGATCTTTATCTACATCATACTGATAACTGTATGAATGTTCAGAAGATGAAGAGCTTATGTTGTTATTCTCAATCGCATCTGCATGCAGCAGCCCCAGTTCATCATCATTTAAGCGCTTGCGATTACTGATTGCTTTCATCAAAGTATGTTTTGATTTTCTTTCGCGGAGACCTAGTTGTGGATTAAGGGAGTCGTCGTCAGATGAATCTCTGAAATAAAGAATTGTTATAGTTGTATATTATATTATTAATAAACATTGAAACTATAATAAAAAATTGTTGTGTAGACAGACTTCAACCTAACTGTGTCTTTATATTTTCTGAAGGTTTATGACAATGCATGATTCATCATATGAGTATTGTGTTCAATATTGTCCACTATTTGAGATATATTTCAATGTAACTTCATGAGTTGGATTTTATTGTTGCTTTCAGGTTGGTTGTCATGATAGATGTATTATTGCCTTTTTATTTTGATATTAGTGGTAACAGTTGGAATCTAATTTGGGTCATTTTGAATACAAACCTAACTATTAATATAAAAATACAATACGTTTGTAAGTATATGAAAAACGTAATATTGATATAATGTATCTTTTTAGTCTGATTTTCTTATTTTGTACAGATTAACGAAGTTATGGTGTCATCATACTTTTGAGGCTGACTAGTCTTTCTAATAATGTTTGATCCAGTTGGCAGATTTTTATAAAACTTCATAAGAATATCATGCCATTGAAGGTAATGTTTTTAAAGTGCAGTCCTTACATCAGTGTGTACCTCACTGACCTTTAGATTAATTTATTGCAGACACTATCCCTTCTTGCAGAACTAATTTTACTACAGAGATTTGACATTCTCATGCTGGTGAAAATGTCATCTGTGCCCTCTCCCCCCAAATATGGAAGTAGAATGTTTCTCTAAAACAGTGCTAACAACCTATAATGCTACAAAGTAACACAGCCCAGAAGATTGCAATTGACAATTGTACTAAAGATGTCACATCCTAATCAGAAATTGTTTTTCCTTGTGTTTCATTACGTATTCTCCATCATCAAGAAATGTTTCAGATGTAAATTGTAGATCTTAATGAGATGGGATTTTATTAAGATTATAATGAACCTTCAGATTTCATAAATAATGCAGAATTTCTTGAACATCTGAGCCAGTGTTAGCACCTCAAGCACTTTGCTCCATAGAGTTACATTTTAATGACATATATTGTATATAATGTATTACTTATTTGTATGACATATTTTTAAATCATGCTGTATTGGTGTTCCTCTTTATGCATAGTTGGGTGATTCTATAATAAAATGTATCAGCATACGGTAACATTATTTTCATAAATTCTCTTACCTTTCGAGACTCACATCAGACAGATCTCCATATTCTGTAGGTTCCTTACAAATGGTGCATATATTCATGATCTCAGCATAGCAGCTTAAACAGTATAGGCCAGAACAGTTTGGTGTTTGGCATTTTATCAGCTCTTCCTTGTCTCCCTCCTTAAAAACTTTGCCACATACGATACACATCTTCTGACTGCTCTTCCCAAGTATGATGTTCAGGAAATGGAACCTGAAATGTTGGAAATAATGGTAATCCTTGTCGTGGTGGTGTGGCTTGAGTACCTCAGTGACCCCAAGAGCTATGCTGGCGGTAGCATAGCTACTGATAGGGCCTCCCTAGCCATATTGGTCGAGGGGGAGAGGTCAGACTAAGACAGGTACCCTGGTCCTCCAGGTTGGGGGTTGGTTGCAAGGCTAACAACTTTGCACCGTAAAAAGGAAGCTGTTTCGAAACCTCAACCTCGGACAGACGGACCGAATGGAAGAGGAGAATTGAGGAGGCCATGGACCGGAGATTCGTAGAAGAAGAAGAATGGTAATCCACACATTACACGTATCAGTATGTATAGGTTATTGTTCAGTTACTTTTTTCTTTTAGTATCAGACTGTCTCATTTCAGCTAATCATATGTATACAAGGTTTCGTTAAACGAATACCAGTATTTAAAATTTAATTACTTACTGGCATATGGTAGGGAGCCAGGGTAGTTAAAGTATAATGTCTGACTGTGGGCTGCATGATCAGGATTCAATTACTGGCAGCAGAAGAAAGATTTTTTTCACATCTAGTGAACTTAATTGTTATCGTGATAGTATTTTCTTTGTGCATACCGTATTGTTTGGGAAATAATGGATTCTCCACATTTTTATGTACATGCTTGAATTGGGACAGATACGTGCAGATCCATAAAGGAAAAAACTACATTCCTTCAAAATCCTTAAAGTTATACTTACTGGGCTCGTAATCTATCCATGAGGCCCACTTCCTCAGTTATACCATCATTGCCTTTTCCATACTTTCTCCTGAGCTGTCTTCTAGCATATTTGAGAAAACTTCCACGAGACCTCAGAATGTGATTGTACAGCCATACAGACCTCTGTCTGGCTCTGTCTGGATGGTAATAGCACATAACGACATGTTGTAGTCTCAGTCCATATGGCTCCAGGAACACCAGCAACCAACACAAGCTGATAACTGTTACTGTGGAACAATATCCCCAGTTTACAACCAACTTTGTCATATCAATGCTAATTTAAGTGGTGTAATGGCAGTCATTGTATGAAGCTGTGCCAAGGTCTGGGAATTCATGGGGCCTCAAGGCTGTTTTGTACTGTACGTGCATATGTGAGTAATTAAATCTACTCTTTTGTCTGTAAACAATTGCAGGTGTTAACAGAGGTTTATCATGCTGATGCTATGAAAAAGGTGAGTGTCATTGAGTGGCATAAAAGGTTTAAAGAGGCCAGAAGAGGGTATGCATATCATGAGTCCAAGTGAAGACAATGCTCTTCTTTTTTATCACAAGGACATTGTTCACGTTGAGTTTGTTGAACAAGGTCGAACAGTGAACCAGCACTGTTATTTGGAAATAGTGGAGAAGAACTTTGGCCTGATGCTTGGATCTTGCATTACAACAATGATTGTGCTCAGTGTCCAAGAGTTTTTGACCAAAAAATTTATATTGAAATCTGACTATGCACCATATTTGCCACACTTGGCATTGTGTGGCTTTGGCTATTCTCAAAACTGAAGACTGCTCTGAAGGGCTAAATAGTTTGCCGACTTTCAGGGACATGGAAAGACCATCCAGAGGAGGAGTTTCAGAAAGTATTTAAGCAGTGGAAACATTGACTCACTAAGTGCATTGGTGTGCAGAGAGACTACTTTGAAGGTGACAGCAACCATTAGTATGTAAGTAATTAAATACAGATTTTACAGGGGCATTCAAAGGACTTAAAAGTAAAATTGTACATAGCAATTGCATTGCATGGTCTAAGCAACACGGAGTTTTCCTCCGTGGCATCCCAACAATTACTCCATTCACACACAGAAGAAGGCAATGGCAAACCACTTCTGGATCATCTGCCAAGAACGTATATGAACAGGTCCCAGTCCGAGAAAAGGATGGAAGGATCCTGTTCATATGGACCTGTCGTCAGACAGAACACTAAATAAAAATAAGAGTTAGTTGGTATAGTATGAAGAAACTTAACTTAAATGACAAGATTTTGTATGAGTTCTGCCCTTTTTAAAATTTGTTCATTTATCCAGTGTGGTTCAGATTTTTCCACCCAACATTGTTTTTTTTAGAATCCAAAAACAATTTATTTTTATACTTTTATGAGTATGTTGTGATCAGGAAAAATGTTCATGTGCTCACTCATATGCATGAATGCATGACAGCCAGGTTTAGTTACTGGATTCCAAAGAAAAAATGACATTCCTTTGAAAACTTATAAAATGCTTGTAATACAATATGTATATTATTTAAGTTCTGTAACTTTTGTCTATTTTTTTCCAGTGTTTTCAATATTTAATGAGACATTCATAAAAAATTGTTTATGCTGTCAAACATTGTGGCTGCCCTGCGAGATGAAAGTGATCATCTGATAGTACAATTCTTGATCAATCAATTATTGCTTTGTTGAGTTCCTTAATGTAATATTTCATAAAAAAACATTTTCTTAGAGAATCACTTTTAAATGGATGTTATGCCACTTACACCCTCAGAGCAGTGTATGCTCACACTACATGCTTACAAATAAGTATGTTACCAACAGCATGAATCTGGGTCCAAACTGTACCTATCTGTATGTAGCATCTGGTGTCAGGTGGTATGCCATTCGGGAGACAGGGTGTAGTATCTATTTCCATCTTGGCACCAATAGGTTCAAAAACATTCACCACACTGCGATAGAGATCAGCTAACATCCCTTCACCTTGTACGTGTATCCCAACCATGTTTGAACCTAAACAGAAAGTGAGATATTGACATGACTTACACTTTTGCTGTGAGACTTATAAACATTATGATTATTAATAACAGTCATTAAGTATGTGGAAGAAGTGCATATAGTGTAATTTAACATACTTGGGAACAGGGTTTACGTTCAGTAAATTTCTCCCAGTCACAGTTATAGAATAATGTTCCATAGATATTTATACAATAAGCATTTCGTTGTGAGCCATTTTGTATATTTGAATGATTTCGATGTTGCTCACTTGCCACATTCACTCATGTCAGTCAACTGATACAGAATATTTTCTAAAATGTTTAAAAAACAAGAGTGCAATAACAATGTAGACACATCAAACCTGAAGATGGGTGCATGCATCTGAAACATGTAGTTTGATGAACACTTTAGAAATGTATCTGAAGAATACAGACTGGGATGCTGTACTACAGTGTTTGAATGATATTTAACCCTTTACATTATTTATTGAATAGACTTAAAATACTTCATCACTACACTGCATATAGTTACTCAATACAATATACAAACAAACCAACCTTCCACTGAAGTCTGCACGCTGCCATGCTTTCGAATTATAGTTAATACCCAATAAAGGCTATAATCTATCATCATATGGATAATGAGTTTGAAGGTTGTAATTCCCAGAAACACTGCTGATTTGGTCAGTTTCATTTTCTCTGAGGCCATAAGACGTACGGATTGCACCTGCAAACAAATGTAAAGGCTGTTGATAACATTCAGATTTCCTCTGAAGTAGGCAGGCAGTAATAATAATAATAATAATAATCCGTGGCGTAACAGCCAAAGCTGACTAGCTGACTGCTAGCCTCACGTTTGCAAGCAGAGGTGAACGATCATTCAACCAGATATAGGGTGATGTATGGTCAGCACGACGAACCCCCAGCCATTGCCAGTTTTCATGACCGGATTACGCTACTCATTGTAGCTCCCCAATTTCCTCAACTGTCTATTATGAACCAGACATTGCCTTTTTCTCCCTCTGAAGAGTGACACCTTTGACACCTTGCTGTGGTGAGAAGGCTTAGTACTCTACATGACCCAGATGACCGCGTTGGGAAAGCTTAGCTTATCCGGCCAGTAAGAGGAGAGGGGGAAGCTAAGAGCACTCCAAAGGGCAGAACAGGCTTATTAGCTGCAGAGAAAGCAACTGTTCTGGGGTAGAAAACCCCGACATTAAAAACGGGGTAGATGGGGCTCCTAGATAAAGAGAAATGAACCCATCTAAGGGAAGGCCCCTTGACAGAAAACCATGCAGATTTGGATGCTGTAATATGGCAGCCCTACCACCAAAATATGCCTGCACAGCTCTTGTAAGGCAACCAGGTGAGAATTAAGTCACTGAAATAACAAAGACATTGTCTTTTTATAACCATAATGTGCCAATGTACAATCTCTTATATCCATTAGTACATAGCTGATCAAGTCGAGAAAATCTGGTCTAAATTTGACTAGTCATCCAATGATATGAATAAGCAAATGGACAGCGATAAATTATGCTTAATACATACAGATTAAGCATCCACTTATTTTGTTCATCAATCTACTTATTGTAGTTCATGCTTGCAAATAACGTGTTTTATGGTCCAAACATGAGTTTCATTTCATTCAAGGTTATAATTTATATACCAAAGCAGAATCTACATTGCAGAATTAGGGCTGTGATTGGCTAATCAGCAGATCAGCACATATGATCATGGATATTTATTAATTTGCCATAGTGCTAACAGATTATAGAATTTCTTGAAAATGTTAATGTAACTTCACAGAGCAGACATTACTGTAAAACTGATTATTGTTCAGCTGACCAAGAATAGCCCTGCCTTGTGTGGAGCCTGAAAGTTTACATGAGCCTCTAATTGGACCCTGTCCCATCTATCCTGATACAGTTCTAATCTTCACTCTATTTATTTAAGATTAACTTTAATATTATCTGCCTCTCTACATGTAGGTCTCCCAAATAATCTATTTTGATGTCCTGTACATATTACAGGTCCTGTCCATCTAATAGTTTTACGATCACCCAAATGATATTTGGTGATGACTACAAACTATAAAGCTCTTGATAAAACTTTCTATCCTCCTGTTAGTTCCTCTTTCTTAGGTACAGATATTTCTTTGATAGTTTTCCCTTGAACACCCTCAATCCATGAACTTCCACAGGGCGATAGAACATGTTTCATGTCTATATAAAATATGAAATTAAGGTTTTGTGTATTTTAATATTTTTCTACATGGGAGACAGGAGGTTAAAAACATTCTGAAATGAATGATCAGAAGCAGTTCTTGAATTTAGTCCACTCTTGAATGCTGATAGGTTGTAGTTTATTAGGTGTAAGTAAATTTGACCCTGACTTTACGTATTCATTATGTGTAGCTACATTATAACAATAATTTATAGTATCAGTGAGTATTACCGTGATATACATCTTATCTTCTCTTCTGTTGAGTGGTAAAACTGTTTCTTGATCATTTTTAACTCGCTGGAGGTCTATCTTCCGAAAATCAGCAGTGATGAATCTATTATCAAACCTGTCATTTTTCAGAAATTTGAGGCGGTAGCGAATGACCCTGAAAAGGGATATTAAAATCAGAATCAAACTATATTTAAGGAAATGCAGGTTCTCTCTAAAAAGATGCTACAGTTTCAGTTGCATATAATTACTTAACTACATAGCAAACATCATAGTATTTGTTATCTCTGTGTTTGGTAGTCTTGGGAGAATGTGATGAAGTTTACAAAACAATCTACACAAAATTTCAGCAGCAGTGAAGAAACTCTGTTCTGACACAGACTGCAGATGGTTCTGGGCATTGATGGTGTACATATTAAAATGTTTTTTTCATGATTGTCAATTTCCCAAGACTACTGAACTCAGAGACACCAAATACAGTGATGTTTGCATTTCATAGTAGAGCAATAGTATTAGAATAGATTATGCCCAAGTTTGTGTATTTGTACTTATTTTAATGTTGCTTTAGCATTACTAGAATTGGTTATATATATTTCATTTGTATCTCTTTTTAAATTAAAAAGTTTTCTGGATGTTGTCCATCGTCTAATAAAATCAATAAAAATACATGACGTTTCGGAGATGGAACTCTATCCCCGTCTTCAGGTAGACCTACTCAGTTGAGCCCAGAAATGTCGGTAAACTTCTTCCAGGCTACATATAGTACAACACAACAATGTAGAAGACATTCGTCTTCAAAATCAGGTATTTTATTCTAATAAACTTTTCATGTGCCTACTTCCATCAAGACTAGCACTCCCTTGTATTAAAGACATAAATATACTTTGTGTTGCAACTTACTTGAATATCATTATGAGGAAGAAAAGGCTGAATGCAAAACTCATCCAATCAAAGAAGGTCAGGAACTTATTTGTGCGTTCCTGTATCTCTGTGACCATTCCGGCTGCAATATCTTTCATTGTGACAGACTGGTTTGTCTCAAAGTGGAATGAGTGTTTGAACTCCACAGATACAGAGAATGCGTCGTGAATATTTGCAAGAAATGTGTGCATCTCTGTAAAAATTAGAAATACAAACATTATAGTATATATAAAAGCATAATTAGAAATGGACAGGTGCAGTGTTTGATTTGTAGATTATTGATCTGTTGTCACAGCCATTTTTACATACCAACTTCCACTGTTTTACAAGGACTTGTTTGGTGCTGAACTACATTTTTCTTTCATGTATGGTCATCATCAGGTTCACGTGTAGCCATTGCATTTACTCTTGGCATATAATAGTTTCTATCATTTCAGTGTTTTTGTCCAAAATAAAATTATATTAGATGAAATAAAGTAAAATATTTTGTTAAAATTATGAAAATAATATGAACACGTTGATGAGTTTTGTTTTGTAGTAGTGTTTGTTACTTCTGTAATTTGTTTATTTGAGATCACAGATAATATAAATTGATTTGCATTGTAAGACTTGAGGTTCTCACAGCGGTGAGTATGAAGATTTCCGTCTTCTGGGTTGTTGCGCTGTGTAGTCTGGTCGATGTTAACCAACGTTTCAGAGGTCATACTGCATTGCTTGCACAAATAAGCCAAACACAAACAAATCTTGGGCTATCAGCTGTCAGCTGATTAAAACCCTACGTTTCAGGGGCCAGAAACACTGAGAAGATTTTATTAATGTTTGTCGCTGCGAAAGCTTCAGATCATATGTAAACAGATCCAACTTTCCACCATGTTTTCTGGTTTGTACTTTTCAGAATTGTAAGTTGTTATTTATGCAGAAAGCATAATGCCAGTTTCTATGACTTAAAATGACAAAATAAAAATAGCATTTATTGTAAAGAAGTACCATCATAATAAGTCCAGAGACCGGGATCTGTCTTGTAGTTTTTTACCTGTCCAAGAAACATCATGCCATTTATGAAACAGCAAATTTGTTACTGTTTTCACAAGAATTCCCCTGTAAGACTTTATCCTGAGCTAGTTGAATCCAACCCACACCTCTGCACCATTTTTTTTATTTAAGAGCCATTGTATGAATTTCAAAATAGTCACCGACACTGGATTAACAAGCCCTATACCTTACGATATTTATGTACACCGTTTTACTATTATTTATGTAATATAGTTGTAAATGTGTGACAGTGTTATGGTACTTTGTGACATAATTTTTATACTGTTTCTTAAAAAGTACACCATTGTTTAAAACTTATTATGTGGTTGTTGAGGAGACAAAGCTTTGTTTTTACTTATTTAACACTTGTGTTTAAGGGTATAATAATTATATGTTATTGTTTAGATTTGACAGTCTCACAGCAAAGGTGTCAATGTCAGTCTTGTGGACTGTAATGCCAGGCCAAGGGGATTGGCCAGAACCAAGGAATGAAAAAATGATAAAAAGATGGTGTGAGGAAGGCTGGGTCTGCAGACAGAAATTCATACAAAATTTTGGTTGGAAAACTTGAAGCGAAAAGACCACTGAGGAAATCTAGATGTAGATGGAAGGATAATATTACATTTTATCATTAGGAAATAGGGTGGTATGGTGTGAACTGAATTAATGTGGTTCAGGACATGGACATTGGTGGGCTCTTTTCAACATTGTAAAATAGATTTGAGTTCCATAAAAGGTAAGGAATTTTGTGACTAGCTGAGTGGGCTGTCAACTTTATAAGGACGATTCAGCTTCATGGAGTTAGTTATTTAAGTTTTCTTTTCCTGTTACAAAAATCTCAAATAAAAATGTAAACCCACTTACTGTTTTTCACAACTTGCACAACATTCTCATTGATGAAGTCCACAAATACGCAGATGAAGTCCAATATTTTAACAGAATAGCAGACTTTGGAAGGAATATAGGCGATTACGCACAACCATCTGAACACTGGTCCTAAATTGGCCTTACAGTCTGCAACTGCGTCGTGAAACACTCGCATGCATCTCTGGTATGGTGTTCCCATATCCTTGTTGCAAATATTAACAATGTTACCAAGCCATTTGCTTACTGATTTCATAACCTGCACTGGAACAAAAAACACTGTTAATATCTCACAGAAAACACACAGATTGACTTAATTTACTCATAACTTAACATGAAAAGCCTAGATATATGTAATTGTGAGGCACTGTTCCTAAATTTGGATAAGGTAGATGTCTACATTATGTGCAAGTTCCAGGTTAGAATTAATGAACTGGTTTGTATTCAAACACTTTCTTAGAAACAGGACAACTCTTAATATAAAGCCCCAAAACAGGTCCAAATTTTAAGAAAACCCTACAGTAAGCAGATAGTTTACAATAAGTTGTACGGTGAATTAGAATTGCTGGAAAATACAAAAATAAAGTCAACATGAACTGTCTGACAATCTTATTCAAAAAGTTTTGTACAGTGTCAGATATTTAAACTATGTTTGTAGTTATGTGTATTGTAATTTCTGAACTGTAAGCACATTCTGTTTACACTTACGCGTATTTTACAAAACCTGAAAATACTATTTCTATGTAAATTTTAAATATATCTCGGTAACTAAATTTGAAGTTATAATGACTCATACCATTTTAAATTTCTTTAAATCCTTTTGATATCTGCTTTTCAAAGGTTTATGTCAGAAAAATAAATAAATGAGTGTGTAAGATTTGAAGTTTACACAGCAATTATATCCCTTAAAATCCCCATGGGTGATCAGTCAATTGTGTTGTAGTTTAATAAAAAACTGACATTTCTCAGACCTCTGTGTTTGTCATCGGGATCAGTGTGAGGATAGACCATAAGTCACTAACATATCCATATGTGTATATATAAAATGTTCCAAAAAGATGTATACACATTCAGTAAATGAAATAAAGACATTTTAATAAATGAAACCATTACATATATCAGCATTGGCATGTAATGAATTAGCAAATTTAGTGTAGGTATTCAGAATGACCACTGTAGACATTGGCGAGTGGCTGACAAACGGCCACCGAAGTTGCTGTTGGGGTGGCTGCACAAGTCTGTTCAGTTTCTTGTGGGGATCTTGAAATTTTTCTGGCTTTGTGCTGTAGACCACATCCTTCAAGTAACCCCACAAGAAAATGCTGGTGTGGGGGGTTGTTAAATCTGGTGATCGTGGGAGGTAATCAGTAGATCCATCGGTCTGAATCATGGCAAAAGATGTTGTGGTGCCATCTTTTAAGTGCAAGCCACGCTAGATTCCTCACATAAACACAACACATGGAGATAGATAACAAGGCTAATATTCTCTATTATAATGTATATACGTCTTTTTGGGACATTCTGTGTATATATGTGGATGGAGTTGGCTCAGGATCATATCTGGTGGTGGGATTTGGTGTTGTCAGTGTTGGTCCTGCAGGTTCTGCTACCAAGGAGTTAGTCAGTTAGTTAGTATATCAGTCAGTATATGCATTGCCTGTTCCCTATTGATGAGCAAAGCAAATGAAGGGCAGAGTTTAATTAGTAAAGATTGGTACAGACTTCACACCACACCCATGAGCCTCACTGATACTTACATATGCTGTGAGTGAGCCTTTTAACTACTCCCATTGCTGCTTTTATCTTCTTAATTGTAGTTTTGATTGTTTTCATCACTTTTCGAAATGCTTCTTTTATAGTTACAAACGGTTTCATTATAGCATCACGTATCTCCTCAACTGCTTCTTTGAGCTTTTCCTGAAAACAGAAAGGAGTTTTGTATTTATTTTTAGTGTTAATGTGTGACCCTTGTTATTAATAAATTAATCTCTGGTTAATGGTTAGATTGGCTCTGACTGGATAGCTAGTAAGTTTGATCAAGAATTAACATTGCTGCTGTCATTAGTTTGTATTCCTGGCATATATACCATTATAACACTTTTCAAAGGAACTATTTAGTATCTTTCTCAACATTTTTAAAACATGTGCAGGTTCACATGAAGACAAACACTTTAGGAATTGGCATTCATTTTTTACACCTTTATAAAAAAAATTGTAAAAAGTAGCAAAATTTGATACTTCATATTACGTTATATTATAGTATAATACACGAAGAATGTCTGTTTGAGGGAAAACCTGCAATAGGTAAATTTCTTGGTTTTGTCACTCTGCCTCATCATATTCCCTGTTATGGTCACTTTTACAATCAGTGTTGCTCAAACCTTGCTGGTACCCAAGCACATATTCTCCAATACTGAGATCATGGGGTTTAACCCACTTCAAAGCCCCTGCATGCCTACTCATGGCATTTATACATGAGAATGGATAAGTCAAGAAAGATGCATAACCAGTGATACGTTGTTTCCCACACCACCAGACTAAATTTCTGAATACAAATGGCATTTAACAATCAAGGAAGGAAAATAAATACAAGCAGACATATATATATATATATCAACTTCTACAAGGATTGGGCCTATTGATCTGTTCTGGGACAGTTGCTCAAGGCAACTTTTCCTTATTAGTCTTGTAGGGTGCATTTGAGTAGTGAGTGACAAGCCCACTGCCTCTGCACAATTTCTACTCAATCCTGATTTGTTTGTTAGAGCCATCTAGTAGAGAATGAGGAGAGACATGGGTGAGAAATGGCCACAAAATTTTTCTTACGAAACATCTGGTATCATGCTCGTAAGTTTCCTTAACATGCCATAAATCTGTGACATGGGACCACCGGCTTTACTTCCTCTCCGAAGGAAGTTGTGCTGCAGATTTTTTTATTAACCACTAGTCCACCGAGGGATATATGGATACACAAATATTTGAAAGACAGGGATTACTTAAAGTTGTTATTCTAATACCAATGTCAAATACATACCAGTTACAGTTTTTTGTTATTATAAAGCTGGTTCTCACAGATCCCTGAACAGTTTTCATGTAAAATGTGTTCATCACGAAGTTGGTCATTTCTTTACCCTTGATTCAGTTTCATCTATTCTCAGCATTTTAAACCTTTTTGTGTGTTAAATGTAACCTGTAAACTTGTTTTTTGTTTGATCCTTAAGAGTATGTAGTAAAAAAGGTCTATATTTTCTCATATTTCAAACTCATAACACTTAGACATATTGTATACCTGTGCACATGCCAGAGACTCTGACAGTGTTTGTATGTTGTGTAGAGTGTTCTTTGTAGGACCCGTGAGTGCTAGGACAAATGCATAAGCTATCAGTGCTCTTCGGCCGTGCTTCGAGAACAGCTGCGGTAGAAGTAAGAGTACCGTAGCCCTAGACAAAGAAGGAAAAGAATTATATTTTACTGTATGAAATTTCCATGCTATATAGTAAGTTCTAAGTCTCACTTACTACTTATTTTCATACATACACACACACATATGTTTAGTTGATATTAGTTATGAAGTCTTCTTTGATCTACTGTTGGTTTTGTTTGTTGTTTATTTAACAGTGTTATCAGTAACTTATTTTATACTGTGTCGACTTAATTGTCTTACTGTGACGTGGTACAAATGATACTGATCTGCAAGGTCGAAACCCCACGTGCATGTGATGTATCTGCTGATGCCTTTGGTTTCTCCTGTGAAAAATCCGTTTCTTTTTCGGTGTTCTTCATGCTCTAGCATGAGCATGAGATTAGAAAACTATTAGATTAATGATTGCTATCAAATAAATTAGAGATGTAGGCTCTTCCATGTGAATGCATAATGATATTCTTCCTCTTCTTTTTCCAGTTTAACAATGTTTGTACATTTTCCTGTACCCTTTACAGATCCCCAACCTTTCAGTTGGCTTGATCTATGGACATTTGGTAGGACTCCTTGGACGAGGGATCGGCCCGTCGCAAGGCCTCTACCTGTACACAGGACAGCACAACTCAGAAAAACATCCATGGCTTGAGTGGGATTCGAACCCACGGTCCCTGCGACCAAGCAGCACAAGACCCACGCCTCAGACCGCGTGGCCACTGCGGACCCCTAATAATATTATTATATTATATATTATTCCACTCCCTATTGTCATATGACTAACTTATGGATCCATGGAATGTAATAAAGATGTATGTATTATGTAGCGATGATAGTTAAATAAATATGTCCTGCCATGTATTAATAGTTAAAGCTAGATATCTACAGTTTTCCCACAGCACAAATTATTTATTACTGTGGAAATATACAAAATAGATAATAAATATAAATTTAACAGAAATAGAGCTAATTTACAATACTTCTGTAGGATAGGTGGTTTAATAATTTTTATTTACCTTACAGTGTGTGAAAATGCTAGTCCCATTGTCAGAATAAGTCCTATCACTGAACACCACAGCGTTGCTCCAACTATAGAAAAGTTCAATTGGAGCACAAAGAATGTGAATATAATATGTGTCAGAACAAGCCCACCTGTGTGCATAAAGAATAAATGTTTTCCATTAGTCACACAAATTATTCTTTTCCAAAGAACCACGCTTTGAATATATGTTAAGGGGCATAAAAGTTAAAATCCACATATTCTTAATCTCAACGCTGATAGATGGAATCTTGGCTGCTTAACTCTCAGAGGAAAAATTCTTAGCGTACACAGAATAAGAGGTGTATGTGGGACACAAAGCCATTCTGGATATTGTGCTAAAGAGAAACATTTGATAGGTGCCTTAAACAAAAGTTGAACTGTTCCATTCAAACCATAGCCTGTTGCTCTACAGAATAAGCTATCATGTATCTAGACTAAAGGTACACATAAATTTGCACCTGTAATTAGGTTTATGTGGAGGTCTAGCTCCACACATGTTAAATGGAGGTGAATTGTTTTAC